TTGTCATTTATATTTTTCTGAAGAGCCATGCCAAATACTTCTATTGAGTTATTGTTCTTTTTTCTTACTCATTTCCTAAGAGGTGTCTCTTTTCATATTAAATAAATAACCTCACTTAACAAGCCAATACTTACATAGCAATTACTATGAGCCTGGCATGTTTCTTAGCTCTATAGAGACATGAACTCATTTAATAGTTACAATAATGCTATGAGTGGGCAACATCATTATTCCTATTTAAGAGATGAGGAAACTTCAGTACAAAGGTGTAAGCAGTGGAGGCAGGATTTGAACCCATGCACTCTGGTCCAACTGTCCCAGCTAAACACTATGCTATCCTGACTTGAACAATCATAGCAAACAACAGACTTAAGAATGTCAACAAGATACTCAGACACCAGAAAACGTGTATAATCTGGTCACTGTCAAAGACTGTGATAGTTGTCCTTTTCTGGAACTATACTGTCCAATATGCTAACCACATGAGCTACTGAGCACTTGAAATGTAGTTAAACTAAATCTAGCAAAAACTGGAAGCATTCCCTTTGAAATCCAGCACTAGACAAGGATGCCCTCTTTCACCACTCCTATTCAATATAGTACTGGAAGTTCTAGCCAGAGCAATCAGGCAAGAAAAAGAAATAAAGGGTATTCAAATAGGAAAGGTGGAATCCAAATTGTCTCTATTTGCAGAAGACATGATAGTATACCTAGAAGACCCCATCGCCTCAGCCCAAAAACTCCTGAAACTGATAAGCAACTTCAGCAAAGTCTCAGGATATAAAATCAATGTGCAAAAATCACAAGCATTCGTCTACACCAATAACAGACTTAAAGAAAGCCAAATCAAGAACGAACTGCCATTCACAATTGCTACAAAAAGAATAAAATACCTTGGAATACAACTCACAAGGAACGTAAGAGACCTCTTCAAGGAGAACTACAAACCACTGCTCAACGAAATCAGAGAGGACACAAACAGATGGAGAAGCATTCCATGTTCATGGTTAGGAAGAATTAATATCGTGAAAATGGCTATACTGCCCAAAGTAATTTACAGAATCAACGCTATCCCCATCAAGCTACCATTGACTTTCTCACAGAACTGGAAAAAACCACCATGAACTTCATATGGAACCAAAAGAGAGCCCGCATAGCCAAATCAATTCTGAGCAAAAAGAACACAGTGTGGGGGCATCACACTACCGGATTTCAAACTATACTACAAGGCTACAGTAATCAAAACAGCATGGTACTGGTACCAAAACAGAGATATAGACCAATGGAACAGAACAGAGGCACCGGAGGCAACACAACATATCTACAACTATACAATCTTTGATAAACCTGACAAAAACAAGCAATGGGGAAAGGATTCCCTGTTTAATAAATGGTGTTGGGAAAACTGGCTAGCCATGTGCAGAAAGCAGAAACTGGACCCCTTCCTGACACCTTACACTAAAATTAACTCCAGATGGATTAAAGACTTAAACATAAGACCTGGCACCAGAAAAACCCTAGAAGAAAATCTAGGCAAAACCATCCAGGACATAGGAGTAGGCAAGGACTTCATGAACAAAACACCAAAAGCATTGGCAACAAAAGCCAAAATAGACAAATGGGTCCTAATGAAACTCCACAGCTTCTGCAAGGCAAAAGAAACAGTCACTAGAGTGAATCGGCAACCAACAGAATGGGAAAAAATGTTTGCAGTTTACCCATCTGACAAAGGGCTCATATCCAGAATTTACAAAGAACTCAAACAGATTTACAGGAAAAAAACAAACAAACCCATTCAAAAGTGGGCAAAGGATATGAACAGACACTTTACGAAAGAAGACATATATGAGGCCAACAATCATATGAAAAAATGCTCATCGTCACTGGTCATCAGAGAGATGCAAATCAAAACCACATTGAGATACCATCTCACACCAGTTAGAATGGCGATCATTAAAAAATCTGGAGACAACAGATGCTGGAGAGGATGTGGAGAAAAAGGAACACTTTTACACTGTTGGTGGGAGTGTAAATTAGTCCAACCATTGTGGAAGACAGTGTGGCGATTCCTCAAGGCCTTAGAAATAGAAATTCCATTTGACCCAGCAATCCCATTACTGGGTACATACCCAAAGGACTATAAATCGTTCTACTATAAGGACACATGCACACGAATGTTCATTGCAGCACTCTTTACAATAGCAAAGACCTGGAATCAACCCAAATGCCCATTGATGATAGACTGGATTGGGAAAATGTGGCACATATACACCATGGAATATTATGCAGCAATCAGAAATGATGAGTTCGTGTCGTTTGTAGGGACATGGATGAATCTGGAGAACCACATTCTCAGCAAACTGACACAAGAACAGAAAATGAAACACCGCATATTCCCACTCATAGGCGGGTGATGAAAGATGAGAACACATGGACACAGAGAGGGGAGTACTAAACACTGGGGTCTATTGGGGGGAAAAGGGGAGGGCCAGTGGGAGGGGGAGGTGGGGAGGGATAGCCTGGGGAGAAATGCCAAATGTGGGTGAAGGGGAGAAAGCAAACAAAACACACTGCCATGTGTGTACCTATGCAACTGTATTGCATGCTCTGCCCATGTACCCCAAAACCTAAAATGCAATAAAAAAATAAAAAAAAAAAACAACTAAATCTAGATGTGTAATAATGTGAAATACACATTGAATTTAAGATTTAATATACATTAAAAGAATGTAGAAACCCAAAACATTTTAATATTAATGTGTTGATAATGTTAAAATAGTATTTTGGGCCAGGCACAGCAGCTCATCCCTGTAATCCCAGCACTTTGGGAGGCCAAGGTTGGTGGATCACAAGGTCAGAAGTTTGAGACCAGTCTAGCCAACGTGGTGAAACCCTGTCTCTACTAAAAAAAAAAAAAAAAAAAAAAAAAAAAAAAAAAATTAGACTGAGCGTAGTGGTGCGTGCTTGTAGTCCCAGATACTTGGGAGGCTGAGGCAAGAGAATCACTTGAACCTGGGAGGCAGAGATTGCAGTGGGCCGAGATTGTGCCACTGCACTCCAGCCTGGGTGACAGAGCGAGACTCTGTCTTAAAAAAAAATACTATTTAGAATATACTAAGTTAAATATGTTATTTAAATGGATATCACCTTTCATCTTAAAAAAAAACTTTTAGTGTGGCTACTAGAAAATATTAAATTACTATAAAGCCTGCATTATATTTCTGTTGGACAGGGTTGCTCTAGAAGGATGTATTATGACTGAAAGAGAAGTCTGGAGGAGCAGTGCATGGTTCTAAAAGGCTAATCACGGTGTATGCCGTCTTTGAAGAGCATGGATTGCCGACATAATAGAGAATAAACCAAGTGTTACTAAACTCATCAATTACCAATATTCTGATGACTCATGAGGAACTCAAATATAGGCAAGAGGAATCTGGAAGGTATTGTTGGTGAATCCAAAGAAATGGGTTAAAAACAAAAAGGAATATAGGGGAGGGGAAATAATTTTGTTTCTTCTTCTACCTCAAGCACAGTCTTTGAAAAAGAAATAGGTCTATGAAATGTTTCTTAAAACTAATGTCTAATCTACCTCCATTACCTTACCCTACACAGGTGAGTCACTATTTCACACACACACAATCTATTTGCTATAATGAATAATTTAGCCAACAGAGCTCCTCAGTAAATGCAACAAAACTATTTAAATATTGATAATCCATCTATATTACCTATGTCCAGTAAATGTTTGGAAAAAAATTATAATCTCTGGCCTTCCCCATCCCATATCCCAAATTATAAACCAGAATATTAGAAGGACCTGTAGGAATTCAACTGCAAGTGCCCCAAGGGCAGCCCTATGTCCAACTGAATTATCAGCATTATCAGTACCATTCCAGTAACGGTAAATACATACAAAAAATGGTAGCTCATTGGAATTTTAAAGTCCACACCTAAACAATATAGAGAAAGCAAAGAATGGCTATTCTAGACTGGTAAGCTTACTGTTGTAGATGGCTAATCACACAGATGGGGGGAAATACTTAGAGTGAAGACCCAGGAGTCAGCAAAGGTTTTCTAAAATCTGACTTCACATTCTTTTTCTGATCCTGCCTCTATCTGTGCAGGGAGTGACTCAAACAAAATAAATCCTGAATTCCTTAAGACCTTTGACAGAGGTCTTTATACCTCAAACAAGGTAGGGAAATAGCAGGCATGATGATCTAACAGTTAGAAGGCACAGTCACGAGTAGAAAAATCATACAGGAAGACTGGTGTTTGGGGGCACTGAGGTCCACCTAAAGAAATCCTTCAGGGGTGGATCAGGAATCCCTCTTGGTTAATGTTTTTCTTCAGTAAGTTGGAAGAAGCATGAAAGGCATATTTGCCAAGTAACACAAAGCTAGACGAGACTGGATATAATTCAAAGACTATTTGGTTAGAATGGTATACAGCAATGAGAAGACTTATTTAGGACAATGGTTTTCAAACTTTAAAATGCAGCAGAATCATCAGGAAAGCTTATTAACACATTGCCAGGACTCATCTCCAGAGTTTCTCACTTAGAGTCTTGGGTGGGGCCAATAATGTGCATTTCCAACAGGTTCTCAGGTGATGCTGCTGCTGGTGGTCCAGGGACAACCTTTGTGAAGCACTGGTACAGAAAATTCCTTCACCTACTTGTTTGCAACACCATGGTTTCTTTCTTAATTCCAACCTTCATGGCTGAGGTTCATATTCTAGACTGGTGCCTTCTATGACAGTTGGATTTCTGTGGCCTCAGAACCCATGCAAGCCACATCATTTTCTAACTATCCTGTAGAAAACATTAGTAAAGAGTGCAACCCTCTTCTGGAAGAAGAAATCAAGCTGTTTCTTGAGGTACCCCCCCTCCCCAATATATTTAAACTTCTAAGTACTTATGGTAAAATTCAAAAGGAGAATGGTTCATAAAGCTTATTTGGAAAGGGCGGCTCTATCAGGAAGAAGACTGGCATACTCACCAGAGAGGAAATATACCCAGTCGTGTGGTGATAAAAACCATGGCAAACATAAGAAACAGGAGATCGCACATTTTCTGAAACTTGGCGTAATTTGCCATTTTGGCAGCCTATGAAAGAAAGGAATGTGACATATTAATGTAGTTAAACTGATGATAAAAGTTTCTTTTAATATGCATGAGTCTCCTATAAGATGTACCTTAGCAAATGCATAAAATTGCCTATGAATGAAATGTCATGCATCATGCATCAGTATTTATAAATTACCCAAAAGTTGACTGAAAGGCAGTATTAGCTGTAAGTAGAATTCCTGACTCTTACAGATTTAATAAAATATTCAGCAACCTGAAAAATTCAATTGTATGGTTGATTTCAGAAAAACAGAGGAAAAAATAAGAAATTATTGCATCATAGATGATATGAGCAAGCCAGAGACACCAAAACAGAAATCTGGCATAACAGTTCAAACAAAAGTTCTGGATAATCCTTTAAACCTTTTTATGAACCTCAAATACTGAGGCCACAAACTTTATACAGAATATATGGAGCTTTTCTGTGTTTGTCTTCCTTTGTTCTTAAAATTGTAGGTTTTCTTTAAACAGGCACAAGAAGTATTGCAGGGATATGCTTTTCTGGCTTTTTCTCATGAACTTAGAAATGAAAACGTCAAGATCATGTTATTTCAACTAATTCATTTAGGTAGAATTTTCAAAGTTACATGAATGGGTTATTTTTACATGGAAGGTCACTAATGTTCAAAGCGTTTGTGAAAAGTACTCTAATAATTTATGCCAGTGACTTAAGTGATGACATCTTATGTTATACATTAGCCTAGGGAATAAATCATATCTTTTTCTCTACTATCCACTTTTTTACAGATGATTCTAAAAACAGGTGAGACTGAAAACATAATTTTGCTTATCACTTCTTTTTACATTTTTGCATAGAATTCACAGCACCTACACACAGGGTTAAAAGTTGATGATGTCTTCTCAATTTATAACGTTATTTTCTACTTCTTAGAAACTTAACTGAGTCAGATTTGAAAAGATTGTTGACATTATCCACAGAAGCTATAATTTAAAAGCTTTAAGTAAAGCACAAAGCTATGAGAGGAACGTATTCCTAAGGGGAAATATCTACTAATGGGGTGTAAGTTAGGATCATAAACTTTTAATCTCATGAACATTTAAGGTGTAGCACCATTAATTATGTTAAAAGGTACCTTCTGGCTAGGTAAATCATGATATTTCTCTTTTTATATTTTGTCATCAGTATTCAATAAATAAGCTTTAAACAGAAACTTTTCAGAAATGTCTAGGCTATAACATAACATGTTGAGGAGTTGACAGGTAACCTATCTCATAAATTGAATATTCTAAGTATTATTTATTTTGTAATGTTAAGAGAATCTAGGTGATGAAGAACCTTTGTTTTTAAGTCACATGACTGGGATTTCTGAATTTTTTCTGGATACAAGTGGAACTTGATTAGAAATTTTCTCAATCATGGCACTAAAAAGCATCATGCCAGCTATTTCCACAGGCCACAGGCTGGCTAATTGTACAGGATTGATTTCAAGCCTTAGGTTGTGTGTGAATTTCTACATCCAAACACAAGATTAAACCAAACGGTAACTCATTTCCAGGGGATTGCCCTTTTACTAATTATATTTCTCCTATTTAAAAAATGTGTTGAATAGAGGTTAGCTTGAAACATTTAAAAATCATAGCAACAAATTATCATTTGACTTACCTAGCCCATTAGGTCTACTTTTCTGTTTCATAACATTAAAGGACCAGAGTTTTTAACAAAGTGCTGTACATGCCTCAAACTTTAATTGCCTTTATAGTAAGTTCAAATTTCATAGCATAGAATTCTGCTTCTATTGCAATAACAGGTCATTATTTGAGGGCATGTCTAGTCTATATTCATAGTACAGTAAATGCTTCAAAGGGGGCAAAACAAAGGACTTAAAGCAAAACGGTGGGCCAAAAGAAAAAAAAAATCAGAATTCAGATCAGATTGTGAGAACCATTTCTATATGGGCGTAATACTCTTGTAAGGTAATTTTGACCAGCTATATTAATTTCTTAATATAAAATGCAAAGACTTTAATTATATAACATTATCGAGTATGACTCTTCACAGGAGCCATAGTTAAAAGTAAATATCACATCACAATTTTCCTTGGGATTTTACCTTCTGAAATACGCTAGAACATTTTTTATTTATTTTACCACTTTAAGAATTCTAAATAATAATAATTTAGAAAGTTAATTCAAGTGTAACCAATAGTTCCACAGATATTCTTTATACATAGATATATATATATAAAACATAGTTTCTATATAAAATTTGCAATTCGTATTCCCTTTTCACTGTGAAAACATTAGGACAATGTGTATTGGCAATAAAAATGATGACCCCTACTTAATTTTACTGAGATGTATAGCTCTTATTAGTAACTAAACTGAGTTTTACAAAATCTCCCAATAAATTAGGGTAAAAGTTACAACACACACAACCTAATCAAATAATGATTTTCATTTGTAAAATTATTCATTTTTAAAGTGTAGACTAGTAAGGGTTTTCATCATTCTGTTAACAATGTTAATTTTTTGTATAAAAGTTTACATACCAATTTAAAATCTCATTTTCACCAGTTTAACCTACAAAAAGACACTCTGCAGTTTCAATGCAGTTATTTACTATTGCACCCAAGCACCATCTAGCATAACATTGCAGAGCTAGTGAGATTGGGGACTTCCTAAATTTTGGATTTCATATTCGTAAAGATGAAAGAAAACTTTTACCTCCAGAAGAGCATCCGCCGAATCATGAAGACAAAGGACCAGGGTTCCTACTCGAGCCATATTGTTGACATATGAAAAGGTAATCAAGAAAATAGACACAAGGTGGTGCAGGAACATAATGCCGAAGTCCTTGAGGAAAGAGAAAACAGCCATATTAGAGCATAGCAACATCACATTTCCATTTAGCCATTTTCCACCGAAACAGTACTGAGAACCTCCACAAGCCTAGCACTGAGGCTGAATAAGGTATGAATAAGGTCTAACTCGTATCCTCTGGAAGTCCATTATGTGTTAGAAGAGACACACAGGAGATCAGTGGAAGCTAGGAAGTCCAAGATCAAGGCTCTGCCAGATTTGGTATCTGGTGAGGGCCCACTACCTGCTCAACAGGTGGTGACTTCTAGCAGTGTCATCATGGGAAAAGGGGCAAAATACTTCTTTAGGGCCCCAGGAGATAGGAGGACATCAGTGACTACCAAGAATGTGATCAATGCCAGGACAGAGACCATATCACAAAGAGTATTTCATACCAAGCCAAAGAATTTGAAGCGATGGGAGAAATCACTACAGGATTTCAAGAAAAGAAGGGCACTACTTGGATTTGAACTTTAGGACAATCTTTGGGGCAACTGTGTGGGTTCAATGAGACCACTTCCCTGATTACTAATGGCTGAAGCTTTGGAAGGTATCGGTTGTGTCTTTGACCAGAGTGTGGCATCTATGAAGGGACAGCAGGTTAAGCTCAGAAGAAAAGGGTATCCATCATACAGCTCTCAGACTGGGCAGTCCACTACCTACAGAAGGGCTGATAAGCCACATAGAAAAGTTTAAGGTGGTGCTGTGGTCTAAACATTTGTGTGCCCACCAAATTTATATTAAAATCTTAATGCCCAACATGATAATATTAGGAGGAAGGGCATTTGGGAGGTAATTAGGTCATGAGACCAGAACCTTCATGAATAGGATTAGTGCCCTTATAAAAGAGACTCCAGAGAGCCACTTTGCCCCTTCTGCCATAAGAAGACACAGCTAGAAGGTACCATATATGAACCAGGAAATGGGCCCTCATTAGATGCCAAATCGGCCAGAGCTTTGATCTTGGACTTCCCAGTCTCTGGAACGCTAAGAAATCAATTTCTGTTGTTTATAGGACTCCCAATAGACAGTATTTTGCCATAGCAGCCCAAATGGATTAAGACAGGGGTGACTGTTTTCTGTTATCTCAGATTTCTTGAAATGTGCATCTTAGTGTTAGCATCCTTCTCCCAGAATACACCTGTTGGGATACTAAAATAAGAATCCTACTATGTTTGCTTTTCTGATAGGACCTACGCAAACAAGCCCCGAATTTTTTTTAAATTGTTTTATTTCCTTTTAGATGTGGGGGGGTACATGCGCATGTTTGTTACTTAGGTAACTGCATACTAGCAGGGAAAAAGAAGCAATCATGATAAGAAGGGTGAGGAGTCCTGGTTGCTGGGGGAGATAGATTATCATAGCACACAGAGGCCAGGCCAGGGCAGGCCTCTCTAAAAAGGTGACTTAAAGGTGACGAGGAAGCTAGTCTTAAAGATAGATGGGGAGAAAATATTCAAGCCAGAGAAAACGACCAAGGCAAAGGCGTTATCCATCATGCTCATTCCAACCTGATGTGTTAAGGAATAGCGAGGAGGTGTGAGTGGCTGGAGTCAGGTAAGAGGGAGAGACATGGAGAAGCCAGAGCAGCATTATGGATTTTAAAAATTAGCACTTTGGGAGGCTGAGGTGGCTGAATCATGAGGTCAAGAGTTCAAGACCAGCCTGGCCAATGTGGTGAAACCCCATCTCTACTAAAAATAAAAAAATTAGTTCGGTGTGGTGGTGCGTGCCTGTAGTCCCAGCTATTAAGGAGGCTGAGGCAGGAGAATCACTTGAACCTGGGAGGCGGAGATTGCCATGAGCCGAAATCACCCCACTGCATTCCAGCCTGGGTGACAGGGCGAGACTCCGTCTCAAAAAAAAAAAAAATTAGTAGCTTCTTTTTATATTACCACTATTTAAAAAATAGAGATTTTAACTATACTGAACAGAAAGTAATCACTACTATTTAGTCCCTGATGTGTAACTATTCTATGTAACATTTGTACTCAGATATAAATTGGGAGATTAAGTGTCAAGAATAAAATTATTTCTGGGGTTGTAAGGACTTAATTTTACCTCTCACGCTGGAGTAGGTACTTATAAGTACTCTCTAATACGAATCCTGGTCATGAAAATGAAACAGGGCTAGGTTTTTATTCTTACAGATGTCTTCATAAACTCCTTCCCACAACATTCCCTTGGGACTATTCTTGCTTGTTCTGAGAATCAGTGTGGGTGACAGTGCTAAGGTTGGTGGATGCTCAGCCAAGCTACTTGGGCTTTATTCTGGTTTACAGTGGCAACAGCAACTAGATCAGGTAGACTTCTCAGTTCCTTGCAAATGTGACTTAATCTTCTACCTAAAGGGAAGGAAGAGGCCCTAGAGGTGTCTCTTTCTCTGAGCTGCCTCGTACTTTTCCTCTGTAACCCTTTAGCTCTCACAGCTTCTGCCGTGGTTCCTGATTCACTGGGAGACAGAGCCACTTTCTCCTGCATCCCCACTTACCTATCCTGGACTCCCACTTACCTATCTACCTTTCTTTCCTACAACACAGAGAGGCCTCTGTCTCTAATTTCTATTCTCCAATTCAGTTGTTACATGATTATTTTTTGTTTGGTTTGTCTGTGGTTAAGGGAATTTCTATTTTAAACAGAAGTGCAAGAAAGTTAAAACCAGGGTCTTGATGGAAACAGACTCCTGAAAAATGTAAGTGTCTTGAAAAATTATGTTCAATAAACAACTATGGAGCACCTATTTCATAAGAGCCAATTTGTAATCCAACTCATATTAATTTTGTCATTTTTTTTTGAGACAGAATTTCACTCTGTTGCCTAGGCTGGAGTACAATGGCATGATCTTAGTTCACTGCAAGCTTCGCCTCCTGAATTCAAGCAATTCTCATGCCTCAGCCACCCAAGTAACATGGGATTACAGGTGTGCGCCACCATGCTCAGCTAATTTTTGTATTTTTAGCATAGATAGGGTTTCACCAGGTTGACCAGGCTGGTCTTGAATGCCTGACTTCAAGGGACTACCTACCTCAGCCTCCCAAAGTGCTGGGATTATAGGCGTCCAGCTATCTATACAATTAAGAGACTGGATCAGGTTATTTTTATGTCTTCAATTCTATAATTCTAGGCTCCACAGCTATGGTGATTAAATAATAATTGAAGTCTTTAATCTACTAATTTCATATTTGTGTATATGTGGCAGGGAGAGAGTGTGGGAGAGACCATGGATGCACCCTTTTTATTCAGCAGCTGAGTAGCTGTTGCTGTCACTACAGATTGGGGTTTGAAAAGTCAACTTCAACAACTTTAATTGCTTAAATGATTCTGTCCACAGCTTAGTGATCATGTCCAGAGGTTATTTTCTCCCCTGGAAAGTGCCTCACATTTATGGACAACCGTGCATATTGATTTATTACTAGGATAAATGGTATATTAGTTTCCTAAATGAGGTCAGATAATTTAAGAAATGAAGTGCAACAATTTCTCTTATTTTCAATTAACCTACTCTCCAAACAGCATGACACACTGATGATAGATACCGCTGTCAGAAGAATCATGCATCTTCCATCAGTTAATCTAACTGCCCATGGCAGAACTAAGCATTGAGAACTCTGGCCTGGGAACCTACCACTCTATTCCTTCCTCTAGATTTACACTTAAATCTAATTGTCAGCTCACTTATTAAACATACTTTGAGTTTAATAAGTGATTATGTTCAGGTGCAACTTACCAGTTTTACCTACTTCTGGAATTCTGATGTCTTTGCAGTTAGTGCCTATGGTTTTCTTAGATCGTTAAAGTTAGACAATACCAAAATGCTTAGACATACAATAAAAATTGCACTGATAATGTTTTCCACTGCAAGATAAAATCTGTTCTCTCCAAGCTGTTACTTATTAGATTCCACTGTGTGGAGTATGGTGTTCCACCAGATCATAACTACTGCAAGACAATGGATCCATTAAAATAGTTACCTATCAACTAATATTTCAAACTGTTTCCTAAACATAATCAAATGAAAATACTCACTGCTTAATTCAGAAATTCAATGAGTTTATATCTGCTATGCTTAATACTCAGATTTCAAAGTTTAACCAGCTGAATACCTAAAAAGAACAATACTTTCCACGTTTTCTATTGTTCAGCTCTGAATGGTTGTTCTTGGCTTACTGAAAGAAAACAAGGGTTTTTCCTCTATTTAACATGAATAAATATAAATTAAAACACTTATTGAGGATTAGTACAATTTAAAATTAAGTTTCCTCAGATGTATCTGATATAAACGTCAATAAACAACCCAATGGCCTTGGCAATACAGCATGGCTCCTTTAAAAATAAGAGCCTTGTTTTTTAGACAAAATTTGCTTTGGAAAGATGTTTTTTGCATATAAATCACCTGGTCCTAGAAAACATTTGTTTTATTACTGAAGGACTCACAGTTATGCATGGCAGAAGACCAATTTTCATTATAGTCCTATCTGTATGAATATGAAAAAACAATGAATAATGGATTTTGTCATCTTTTACATTTCTGCTTTGGAATGCATTATACATAATAAAATATCTTTAAAGGCCATGCAATCTTTATTTTATGTGTTACTCACATCCTCCATTTCTTTGAATAGGCACTGAATCTGGTCCAAATAATCATTTTTAAACAGATTGTCAATTTGGATTTTATCAGTGCTGGGTGGAAAACTTCCAACCTCATATTTGCAACTGCTGAAAGTGATTAGTGTGCACAGACACAGTCATGGCTGAAAGAACATTAGCATTTTAGGTTGAAATGTTTTCCTGCATTTTCCATAACTGCAATTAAGGAGAGAGATTGTGATTTCTCACTGGTCTTCATACTGAAGATTGATCCCAAAGCCTTTATTCAAAACAGACTGGCCTGGACACGTGCTTTACTGGTATCCTCAACCTCCTGCGATTTTGCCATATTGTTTCTGGACATATTCACAGCCATCATGAAGGGCTCCTACTATGTTCCCTGC